TGGCCACCGAACAAGCCTCCACCAGTATTGGCACCGAAGAGTCCTCCACCAGTATTGGCACCGAAGAGTCCTCCACCAGTGTTCTGGCCAAACATGCCCCCACCGGAATTGAAGAGTCCTCCAGCGACACCTGCTCCAGTGTTGACACCAAACAAACCTCCAGCAGGGTTTGCACCTCAGTGATGGTTGCAACTCAGCACCCGGTCAAGGAAGTCTTAATCGAAAAGGACGTATTGCCATCAGTGGTTCACATCGTTTCGTCTGTGTTGATGCACATTGACTTGAGGCCGGTGCCAGCGGCCATTAGACCTAAGTTACGACACACACACACACAACACAAAGAGCAATGCCAAATGTCGCGAAGGACCTTGGCCCCTCAACTGTGTGAAAAATGTGAAAGGGAATGGGTACTGAATGTCTCAGTCAGCAACCCCCAGGCAACGTTCAGCATGAGAACTACTCACAACAGAACACCTGGAGAAAACCTTTGCGTGTCGCAGCATCACCAAAGGCAGCACACCCTACGGCCGTACTTATCACCGGATGGTGAGCCACCAGCTACTATCCTCAGCAAGCACATAGCTGACTGCCAGCCAAACTCCAAGCAAGGGCACATGGGCGCCTCACTTCGTCACTAATATGGGAGGGTGGGCACTTCCAAGTTTCTGCAGCTGGCCAAAGGGCCAAAGCATAAACCGATAACAGCTGCAACTTGTTTGCATAGGTCCTATATACCAAGTTGGAAAACCAAGTGGCAGGACAATGCTGTAGCACACGGGTTAGAGCACTCACCGGCCGCATCCTAGCCCTGTCCCCATGCACTTGTGAGGCACACTTGAAACGCACATGGCCAGCAATGAGAGAACACGTAAAACAGGCCGCGTGAAGAGTGCAGGTCGAAAGCATACTGCTCACAACAAAAAACTAGCCCCGACCCCAACCGCTTCATCAGCAAGAATTGGTGTTGTCTTAGATGGCAAAACCTGTATTTATGTCGGGCACGCCAGCCATAGATACAAGGAGCCAAAATAGCTGTATAAAGCAAAAACAAAGCAAAAAAATAAAAAAGGCAAAGCAAACAAAAAAACAAAAAAATGTAGCTGTGCGTATTTGTCGTATTTGTCGTTTTTTCCATGTTTTTTCGCTTTATTTTCGCATTTTTGTTCGCTTTATTTCCTAGGAGGGTACAGTGTTTTTTTTCGCTTTTGTTTTTGCTGTACCCTCCTAGGAAAAAAACGAAAAAAAACGAAAATAAAACGAAAAAAATGCGAAAATAAAGCGAAAAAAATGTTTAAAAAACGACAAATACGCACAGCTACATTCTTTTTTTCGCCTATTATTGCGCTTTGTTTTTGCCTTGTTATGTGCTTTTGTTTTGTTTTGTTTTTGTTTGTTTGTTTTGTTTTTGCTTTGTTTTTGCATGTTCATTTGCTTTTATATTTGTTTTTCACTTTTGTGAAAAACTATTTGATGGTTGGCCATGTATGGCTGCCATCGCCCAACATAAACCTGTATACGTATATAGGTGAATGTCATCGGTGCCTAGGCAACACAAGTGAAAGCCTGGAAACCCCGGCTCAGAGGAATTACAGTCAGAGCAACTGTGTGCTTTTCCAGGCATTCCCAAATGGCTGGCTCAGAGGATCCCACATTTGGGCACAGCAGAACCTCTGTTTCAAATTACTCGTTTTCAGATTACTACCAGTGTGGGTGTGTGTCAACACCTTTTCCCAAGGTTTGTGCTTAGTCGGTTTCTAGAGGGCTGGATGCTACTAGTTGCTCTTGGCCTTGCTACTAGGAACTAGAGGCTGCTAGAACCCTAGAGATCGCCACTACTTGAGAACGAAGAGGCAGGGATGCGGAAAACGGAAAAGAAAGAGAAAAAGAAGAAAAAAGAAGCAGGGGGGCAGTGGTCCTTTCAGCAGTCACTGCCTAACAAAGACGCTGCTGATCGGATTTGACATGACTCTGGGACGCCGGAGTCACGTACCTGCATTTTCCAAACTGTTCACAAGCTGTCCAATGCGTTGTTTCCTGCAGTAAACGGCTAATGCATTTCCAAACTTTGTTAAACATCTACAAGTCCATCGACTCAGCCACCTTTCGGTTCTCGTTCTTTCCGTTCAATCAAGTCAAGGGGGACTTCACGCCGATCCTAGCTCTTGCGAGCAACCATCTAAGTGTGTATCGCCACAGAGTCCCACTGAGGGCTGTGGCATGATCCCCGTCAAGGGGCGCTGCATGTGCACAGACCCAGATCCTGAGGGACCCGCCTTGAATGCTCCGTTTGCACTCCTGGACTTCTCTTGATTCCCCTTGATCCGCGGTGCTGCATGATACCACTGATACTACGCCGCAGGGCTTACTGAGATCAACTCCAGTCCGGAATCTCACGCATGTACATATCACATTCGTTCAGCTAGGTAATCAAGGCCGGGCACATGAAAGGACCCAAACAGCGACTTGTCTTCATTTTTTCTTTGACCACGTGGTGCATCGGACGCCACCATTCTTTGCCCAGAGTGAGTGGACGACGGGTCCCGACATGGACCAGCAGACGCCTGCAAGGTCAGACTCGTGACACGAATGGTGCTGACCAGGCGTCAGCGAAGTAGGCCCAGAAGTGAAGGAATTGCATGGAGTTGAGTTACATGTACTTGTCTTGTTCTTTTTCTCTCTCTCTTTCTGTTGCTTTTCGTTATTTGAGGTTTTTGTTTCTTTAGGTTTCAGGTGCCTTTCAGACGGGTGCGCCGGCCCAAAAATCGGCTATACTTGAATGCCAATGCTGCAATGCCTTCGGGCACTTTTCCCCCCCCTGCCCCAGGCCCCTGTTGCTATCCCACCCGCTATTCGGGCAACAGAAGGAAATCGCACTCAACACACTTGTGTGTTGGTGCCTTTCCTTCTGTTTCTCCTATCCTATTGCTAGCTACCCGGGCGGTTTAAGACAAAAGTCCCTCTTCACTAAGTGGGCCTCGTCACTATACCTATCTTTCTTTCTTGCCCTCTTAGTCTGCTCTTGCTTTGTTTTCTTTGTCTGTCTTTCTATTGTTCTTTGTCTTTAGGTGACTAGTAGTCTTCCG